ATATAAGTATTAGTAATTGTTATCCTATTTTATATAGTATGATATCAGGCATTAATATAAATATATTATGTATATATATATAATAGGTAGATACTATATTATATGTCGTGCCGAATAGGCAGAACTTGCGATCTTGGCTTAAATAGCAACGCTCATCTTGCCATATAGGACAAGTGAAAATTTGTTTATGCAATAATTTCGCCAAAATCATTCTGAACCTAATGAAAAAAATATATTTCACTGTGTTTGTTTAGTATTAAATTATTGTAAACAAATCTAAAATATATTTAGTTGGGTTAGGCTAAAATAAATTGCGCTTGTTATAATAAGGTTAGGTAAGTTTTCTAAGTTCCTTTTGGTGCAAAATTATAAATTTTTGCATCAACATTAATGAAAAAAATATATCTTTAAACGTATAAGAGAAAATTTTAGAAAGGACTTAATTTAAATGAGTTCTTGCTAATTGACCAGTTTTACATATTCGGCACGACATTATATATATATATATATATATATATATATATATTATATATATATATATATATATATATATATATATATATATATATATATATATATATATGTATATATATGTCGTGCCGAATAGGCAGAACTTGCGATCTTGGCTTAAATAGCAACGCTCATCTTGCCATATAGGACAAGTGAAAATTTGTGTATGCAATAATTTCGCCAAAATCATTCTGAACCTAACGAAAAAAATATATTGATTGTGTTTGTTTAGTACTAAATTATTGTAAACGTATTTAAAACATATTTAGTTGGGTTAGGTTAAAATAAATTGTTCTTCTTATAATAAGGTTGGGTAAGTTTTCTAAGATTCTTTTGGTGCAAAATCAAAAACTTTTATATTAACATTAATGAAAAAAATATATCTTTAAACGTATAAGAGAAAATTTCAGAAAGGACTTAATTTTAAATGAGTTCTTGCTAATTAACCAGTTTTACATATATATATATATATATATATATATTATTAATATATTATATATATATATATATATATATATATATTATATATATATATATATATATATATATATATATATATATATATATATAAAATATATATATATATTCTTCTTTCAACATACCAGCCATATCCCACCGAGGCAGGGTGGCCCAAAAGAAAAAACTAAAGTTTCTCCTTTTATATTTATTAATATATACAGGAGAAGGGGTTACTAGCCCCTTGCTCCCGGCATTTTAGTCGCCTCTTACGACACGCATGGCTTACAGAGGAAGAATTCTGTTCCACTTCCCCATGGAGATAAGAGGAAATAAACAAGAACAAGAATTAGAAAGAAAATAGAAGAAAACCCAGAGGAGTGTGTATATGTATGCTTGTACACGTATGTGTAGTGTGACCTAAGTGTTAGTAGAAGTGGCAAGACATACCTGTAATTTTGCATATTTATGAGACAGACAAAAGACACCAGCAATCCTACCATCATGTAAAACAATTACAGGCTTTCGTTTTACACTCACTTGGCAGGACGGTAGTACCTCCCTGGGCGGTTGCTGTCTACCAACCTGCTACCTACAATATATATAATATCTATATATATATATATATATATATATATATATATATATATATATATATATATATATATATATATATATATATTATATATATATATTATATAATAAAATTTTTTCTGTAAATGTATTTTGTTTATTAATAAATGTTCACATAGAATAAAAAATATATAGGGGGTGGTAGGAGAAGAAAATATTCAAACAGCTCCGGGGAGAACCTTGAGTTTTCTCTGAGGTACGTTTATTGTCTTCTCTGAGGATGAGGGTCCCCATTCCAGCCATAGAGGTGGTACTTCCCTATATATATATATTTATATATATATATATTATATATATTTACATTAATATATATATATATATATATATATATATATATTATATATATATATATATATATATATATATATATATATATTATATTACACACACACACACACACACACCACAAACACTGATCTCTGGCCGAAGGAGACTCGAACCTACGAACCTTGGAACAAGGTACGCAGTGCTTTACCATTCTCACCACACTGGACCAATACCTTGGCGCCCAGCTCGCGCTAGACGTTGATCCAAGGCAGCCAGCTTTCAGGGGGAAGGCTTACAGCTTTTCATCTCATCCCCTGCATGCATCGATCAACTAGAGATTTTAACAATGCTAGGAATTCGCAAGAGCATGCGAAATATACACAAACACTGATCTCTGGCCGAAGGAGACTCGAACCTACGAATTATCTGTGACATACATCACTCCTCCACCTTTCTTGTTGACCCTATCAGTGTGGAATAATTTATAGCCTTGAAGGTGGCATTCAGTATCATTCAGTATCATTCTGTATCATTCAGATTGAACCAGGTCTCTGTTATGGCAATATTTTCTGTTTCTTGCACTTGCAATAAATCTTAGCTCATCTATCTTATTTCTTACACTCCCTTTGTTTGCTGACCAGCTCCATTGTCTTTACTTGTAACTATATGATGAATAATGTCCTTTAAACATTTACTGTTTTCAGCCCTAATGCTGCAACCTGACTGCTTCCTACACACACCCATACGTCTACCTTCTATCAGTTTAAAATCCTAGACAAGTAAGCAATGGCTTTCTCGATCGAGCTGGTAAATGCTACCACCCCTGCCCCAGGGAGATGTACCCCATCCCTTGCATACATATCATGTTTGCCATAAAAGTTGACCCAATTGTCAATGAATGGGATTGAAAGTTCCTTGCAGTATCTGTCTAGCCAGCAATTTACACCAATTGCCCTAGACATCCATTCACTCCCCGCTCCCCTTCTAGGCAAGAGGCTACATATAATTGCGACCCCTCCCTTAGACCTAATTAAATCCATAGCTCACCTATACTTATCCAGTAGCTCATCTCTCCTACCCTTCCTGATATCATTTCCACCAGCACTGAGACAGATAATGGACTTGTTCCCATTACCTGACATGATATTATCCAACCAGTTGACTATGTTACCAACACCAACTCCAGGGAAGCACACTCTCTGTTTCACCTTCTTATCCCTATTACAGAAACCACGGTCCATATAGCTTACCTGTGAGTCGACATCCACAAAAATGCGCTTACCTCTATTTGCAGGGGAGGTAGTGCCTTTACCTTCACTTACCACTGAAGTACACTCATCCTGAGGAACAGAGAAGCGATTTTCTTCCTTCAAACTTTATCTCCAAACTTTCCTTATTTTGACGCTCCTATCATTACTGGGAACCACTCGCCACTTGTAGCATGTGCTGGACTGCTCCTCACTGCTGGTAGCCTCATTTCCTTCACCCAATCCAGCCACCTCATACTCCAATCGAGGTGAACCTTCAGCCTCCTAATTTCCTCTTGAAGTAGGACCTTCTCCTCCAACACTCTAACCTCAGATTTCAAAACACTGCAGAAGCAAGCAATGGCTTTGTAATCCTCCACACTAATCCCCAAAGCTAGAACTATGCTCTGAAAAACGTCATAACAGCAACCATCAAAACCTACCTGACCCATAGTCAGATCATTCCAGTTCAGCCCACCCAGGTAATTTCTCAGTCCCATGAAGTCGGCCAAGTGGAAATCTGGGACAGAGACCACAAGTAACCCGCTCATAGGATACTGAAACTGGTTAATGGTCCTAGTAGGATTGATATGTCGTAATAGGTTCCATGTGTCCTATATATGGGTGTTGTGTACAAATTGGTTAATTTAGGGTTGAATTAATTATGCATTGCAAACCTGAATATTTTTCTGTAGATGGCATTGCTAATGGAAAGGACACCCAACATATCATTTATTTAATATATTTGCTTAATTGTGTTAGCAGATCATAATTCTAATTTAAAAATACTTCTTCAACGGAGCCTTGGTAAAGACTGCATTAAAATAAAAGCTAAACAATTTCTCAATGGGTACGTTTATATTATTCAATCTTTCAATAAAACTCTGATTGACAACTATATGTGATTTAGAAGAATGATGCTTAGCCAGTCATTTTATTAATTTATGTCACAGAATTAACATTAAGGTACTAATAACTGGTTATAAGTTAAGTGTTTAATCATTACCTTATTCAACTTATAATTACATAGTTATGTCTGTGAATAAAAGCATTATTAAACCTGTTCTTTCTCCTTCATGCCAAGAAGGAACAAGTACATAAAATGTCTAGATGCTGGTGTTGGGTAGAAACTTACTGTAGGTTGGAGTGAGTTGCCACAACTGTGTATCCCACAATGGCAGTGCTGTGTTTTGTTATGTACTCGATTGTGACTGCAAAACATTTTTCGACAATTTCAAACTAATGTGTAAGTGTAACTAATTATGTAAGAACGTGAAGTGTTGAATGAAACTTTGGTGAATTGTTTCCAGACTATAACATGTCTGAATGATACATCAGTTTCAGCACGATAATTCGCGCTTAAGTCAATGGAAATTTCTATAAAACGTTTGGTTGTAGAATTCTTAGTAGTAGTCAAGACAGTCGACGTCAGTCTAGTAGCGAGATTATTGAAGGTTAGTTAATACCTCCTGATGAGGTTAACTCACTCCTTCATACCAAGTGACGTGGTCATGTGATATGCTGATTCTTTGTCTTACTGAATAAAGTTATACATAAAACTGGTATCCAAGTTTTTCGGCATTTTTGGGTATAATGAGTGAAGAGAAAGTTCTCAAACCGAACTTGCCAGACATGTTCCAGTAATCCTACTGCAGTGCTCCTCTCTTCTTTTGTTCTTATATAACTAGTATGTAAATTCTGACGTGGTGGTTCCTGCTGGTTCCTAATTAGGCCTGAGATTCAACTAAAAAAATATTAAAATAAATAAATTTATGTAATTTAAAATGTGAGAGAATCTGCAGCCTATAAAATGTATTAACTGTTTACTTCATTAAAAGAAAATTATAAATATCAGCGGAGTTTGTGATTTTTGTTGTTGGTTGTCAGGTGTGGCTGCTGAACCAGATCCCGGGTCCCAAAGGTCTTCCAATACTGGGTAATGCACTCTACCTCTATGTGGATCCACCAGGTAAGATACCTTCCCTGATACATAAATACCAAAGTAAAAGAATAATAGAATATAAATACTGAGGTTTCCCCATTTTGATTTTGTTCAGTGGCGTTTTTTGGCTGAGTTTAGGTATTTAATAATGAGTTGTTGCCACTTATGATAATGTGCATCTTATTTCTTTCTATATGATATTCTCATAGCTAGAATCTTTGCTTCCATGTCCATATTATTTAAAACAATAAAAATGCTTTTCAGTCAAAAATTATGATTTTTTTTTTTACCTTTGTTTATCTCAGAGTTCTTCCGGAGAACCTTGAAGGTGACCGAGTACGGTGAAGTTGCCAGGTTGTGGATGGCCCATAATCCTTACTGCTTACTAAGCAGCGCCAAGGCAGCAGAGGTAATTTTAATTTAGCCAAAGTTTGAATGTGGTAGTTACTGTAAAGAATGAAAATGCTACTAAAATCGTAGAAGATCTGGATAAGGACCATGGTTTATTTCCTTATGTTAAAAATACAAATAATTCGCAGGGATCTGGGGGTATATATTTTTATGCATTTTCATCCTCTGGGTAGTCATGAAGCAGAATGACCTGGATGACAAAGTAGTGGAGGAAGACTCCATACACTCGCTCACTCTGCAGAAAGGGTAAGGGGCGAAAACAGGCCTGGTTTGCTTCAATTTCTATGGTCATTGGTCCCATGGTATATGCAGGGATTTTAAACCAATAACCACACTTGATATAAACTCAGAGAGATGCTTTTGGGTCTGCCCAAACTAGGTACACCTGTATGAGGAAATTACATCTGTATTAAAAGACAAGAACACCTATAAAATATCCTTCTCCCAAGGATATCCTTCTGTGAGCATGGTATGACAGCTAGGAAAATAAGATGGATGGTTTGGACAGGGTTGTCTTGGACGACAGTGCTCCTGAGGGTAGTGTTGTCTTGGAGGACAGTGCTCCAGAGGGTAGTGTTGTCTTGGACGACAGTGCTCCTGAGGGTAGTGTTGTCTTGGAGAACAGTGCTCCTGAGGGTGCTCGTGTTGTCCTGGAGGACAGTGCTCCTGAGGGAGCCAGTGCTGTCCGAGAGGACAGTGCTCCTGAGGGTGCTAGTGTTGTCCTGGAGGACAGTGAAATAAAAAAGCAGACATTGGCCGTAGTGATGAAACAAGTAAAGACAACGCTATTCAATTCACAGAGGTACAAAACAGTGATACTGCTGGAGATGGAACAAAAGGGGATGATGCCTCAGATAATAATGTCTACTCATTACCAGTAAAACCTGGTAGAAGCACTGATGCCCATACAGGGGTGATAGATAGGGTCTTCCCACATCTCCAAATTCTAAAACATCTTCGAAGATCAAAACTCCTTCTGCCCCACACTTTACTTTTCCCGCTTCTTACTCTAGTCCTTTACCTCATACCACATCAGTTACCATTGTGAATGTTCATCTGTCCCCACGTATAGTCACTCCCTCTCCTGTTTCCACTCAAGTTTCTTCCCATCAGTATACTGCTAACCTCTTTTTGTCTTCCCTTTCTTTGACAACTACCGAAGTCTCTCCATTCTTTACAAAGTCTTCACCATTTGGCTCTGACACCATGCTTCCTCCATTTTCCTTGTCAGCTGAAACGAAGCAAGTCTTCTCTGTGTTTTTTAAGGAGACAAAACCGGTGATGGACACTGACCCACCTACTAGAACTTCACATTCACACCTTCTACATTTAATTCTACATAACATCTTTCTTCTCAGAGTTCCCGTAATTTCCCGCTTCTCCTACACGTCGACTTTACAGACCTTCCTAGTCCGTAAACAATTCCATCTTACTGTTACTGTTATACTTCTAACCACATATCATGATTTTCTTACAGTGGAATATTAGAAGACTTAGGGGTAATTGAGGAGAGGTTAAGGAGTTGCTCTCCAAGTTTTTTTTCGTTATGTGTCTGTTTACATGAACTAAAATAGAGCTCCGCTGTTGTCCTCTCCATCTTAGGCTGTTATATTGTGATCACCAGATCCTTGTCCCGATAGGATATATAATGAAAGTGTACTTCTTCTGATCTCCGATATACCATAGTTTCAGATTTTTATTCATACTTTTTTGCATTACAAGTGGTTTACAGTCGGCTCTTCGTATCTTTCTTTTTTCCCTCACTCATTTTGACCCTCATACTCAAATTCTTTTATGCATAGCTGTTCTTCAACTTCGCTTGACTTTACTTGGTCTGGAGTACACCAGATCTACATGTCAGCGATCAATTTCCCATGCTCCTTACTTCCCATTCTAATTTCTGATTTCTTAGCTCACGTTGACATTTAAAACGAATTGATTGGGCCCTATACTCTCATACTGCAGAACTTGTTTAACTTGCACATATATAACTTGTCCATATATCTCAAGAGCTCCGTCTGTGCCCCTAGTTTCTTTCCTCCAAAACTTCCAGAGAGTTTGTACCTTTCGATTTTACCTCTAGCATAGAGAATTATTTAATGAAACTTTTTTTTTGCTTTGCGAACTTGAGTCAACGTTTACCACTTGCTGACCGTCGGCAGCTGGGACTGATGACTTTCCTATTTGTGTTTCAGCATTTACATCGAATGGCCCACGTCATTCTCTTACGTCTCTATAATCTCGGAACCATAATAACACGATTGCAAAGAAACCACAGAACGGGTGACTGACTCTTAATAAGCCAGGCCAGTGAGCAAGTCACTTGGCCAGTTGGCTACAACCTAGATGGATGAATCTGCTGGCCGAGTACCCCTTACACACTGGCCTAGAGTTTTAAGATTCACTCGCCATGGGTTGAAACCCCTATCCGTTCAGTGGTTTCTTTATTATTATTTGGTCGCAAGGGGTTCTTCCTCGTCCATTGAAAACTGTCATTGTTCTACGCTTTCATAAGCCAGGTATTTCGGGTGATGATGCATCTGCCTATCAACCCATTGCTTTTACTAGTGCAGTTTGGAATTGTTATAACGTCTGGTAAATAAAATTTGTGGTATTTGGAGAAGGTTGATTGTCTTTCTCTTCATCAATTGTCATTTGTAGGTGCAAATCCACTATCGAGCCGTTACTCCATTGAGATCCCCATGGTCGTAATCCCCCTTCGCAAGAAAGCACTTGGTTATTGCTGCCTTTTTTTTTTTTTTTGACTCGCAAAAACGTAAAACACTACTTGATCTTATAACATTTTGGCCCAAGCACATTAGTTCGTCGAGGATACGTGCCGTTTCCCTTTAAAGAATTTTTTGACTGAGAGACATTTCTGTGTCCGGGTTAATAATATGATTTACTCCTGACTTTGTCCAAACTGGAAGGTGTCCTCGGGGTTGTCTTTTTGTACCATATTTATCTATTTGATATCAATGACTGCTTCTGTTCTCCAGTCTGATTTTTGGTCGTCACTTGATGTCGATATTTACTATAGGATGTGCCGGTACTGTCACATAGTAGCAGTCTCTCCAGAATGCTAGTGTTCTCCATTGGCCACTACTCATTGTGGTTTTTTCTATCCTGAAATACACCCAGATTACTTTTACAAGATGATCTCTAATACCGCGTTATCCCTTTTATTGTCTCTTACTTAAAAGGGCACATGTGCAACTAATTCCACATTTTTTTGTAGCAACGTTTCGCTCTCCAGGAGCTTTGATAAACAATTTACAAACAATACAGGAACACACGGGGTATTATAGGTAGGCAAAACGTTTCAACAATAAAGTTATCCAACAGTTGCACATGTGTCTAAATCACCCAACCCTTGTGGGTATTTTACAACATTTTCAAAAAAAAAGGAACCATATGGAAAATTTTTTTACAAGGGGGGATGTATATATAGTATGTAAAAAATTATTTTATCTTTAGTATTTAGATAATAGATAAAATCACTTCAAACTGCAATATTAAATAATTTTAAGTATCCCCGAAGGTGATACTTATTGCCATAATTTCTTAAAAACTTTTTTCTTTTCTTTCGCTCATAATTCAATAAAGTCTTATGCGATCGGCTTAAGAATAATGCATTGCTTATGGTACGGTAATTTGGGCCAAATTATTTAAACACTTAGCAAGTTCAGGTGACCTGTGACCAAAATTGATGAGCTCTTTCCCATGATTCTGCAATGGATCACATGTGTAGGTACTTTCCATGGAGGGGGTGTAGGTACTTTTCCATGGGGTGTGTTGGTATTTCCATGTTGTGTAATGGTACTTTCCATGGAGTGTGTAGGTACTTTTCATGGTATGTGTAGGTACTTTCCATGGAGTGTGGGAGGTGTTTCCATGGGGGTGTGTGGCACTTTCCATGGTTTTGTGTAGGTACTTTCCCTGTAGTATGCAGGTTACTTTCCATGGTGTGTGTAGGTACCTTCCATGGTATGTGTTGTGTAGCTAAGTTCCATGGTGTGTGTAGGTACTTTCCATGGTGTGTGTAGGTACTTTCCATGATGTGTGTGTAGGTACTTTCCATGGTGTGTGTAGGTACTTTCCATGGAGTGTTTAGGTACTTTCCATGGAGTGTGTAGGCACTTTCCATTGTATGTGTAGGTACTTTCCATGGAGTGTGTAGGTACTTTCCATGGTGTGTGTTGGTACTTTCCATGTTGTGTAATGGCACTTTCCATGGAGTGTGTAGGTACTTTTCATGGTATGTGTAGGTACTTTCCATGGAGGGTGTAGGTACTTTTTATCGAGTGTGTAGGTACTTCCCATGGTGTGTGTAGGTACTTTCATGGTGTGTGTAGGCATTTCCATTGGTGTGTGTAGGTACTTTCCATGAGTTGCAGGTACCCCTTTTTCCTTTATGGATGTGCGGGGGAGGTACTTTCCCTTTTTGGAAGGGTGTGAGGCACTTTCCATGGAGTGTGTAGGTACTTTCCATGGTGTGTGTAGGCACTTTCCATGGAGTGTGTAGTACTTTCCAAGGAGTGTTTTAGGTGCTTTCCATGGTGTGTGTAGCACTTTCCATGGAGTGTGTAGGTACTTTCTATGAGTGTGTAGGTACTTTCCATGGTGTGTGTAGGTACTTTCCATAGTGTGTGTAGGTACTTTCCTGGTGTGTGTTGGTACTTTCCATGTGTGTGTTGGTAGTTCCATTGGAGTTGTAGGTATTTCCATGGAGTGTGTAGGTACTTTATGGTGTGTGTAGGCACTTCCATGAAGTTGAAGGTACTTTCGTGGAGTGGTAGGTACTTTCCATGGTTTTGTGTAGTCCCCATGAGGTGTAGGTACTTCCATGGAGTGTGTAGGTACTTTCATGAGTTGTAGGTACTTTCCATGGAGTGTGTAGTACTTCCATGGTGTGTGTAGTACTTTCCATTGGTGTGTAGGTACTTTCCGTGGAGCGTGTAGTACTTTCCATGATGTAGGTACTTTCCATGGTGTGTG